ATTTCATTCATTCCGGTGCTTTGTTTTAACTGCTTTAGAAAATTTGCAATTGCAAGTTGAACTATTAGCTCAACAAAATGATAACATGGAGATGAGATCTCGAAGAAAAATTCTGCTTGTTCATGATATAGCCGAAGACAAGAAAGAGAACACATCCTCTAGTGTTGTCAAGGTTCTATCCAGCCACTTGAAAGTTCCTGGTGTTACTACTGATTCGATAGGCCGGTCACATCGTCATGGTCAACCTGGCACTGATAAACCCCGGGCTGTGCTTGTTAGAATTTAGAGACTATGGGACAAAAGAGAAGATATGGCTTGCAAAGAAAAATTTGAAAGGCACTGGGATTACATTGTCCGAATTTCTTACAAAGGGTCGCCATACTACATTCCAAACGGCGCGTCAACGTTTCGGAGTTTCAAGGTGCTGGACGAGGGATGGCATCATCTTCGTACTAGGACCTGATCAAGTACGCCATCGTATCCATTCTAGGCTTGATCTTGATGCTATCTCCACCTCTGAATCGGTGACTCAAGCCACATCTGCTGCAACCTCGGTTCCAAGTGTGGTGAAAGACTCCAGGTCTGCTCAAGTAAGAACCAAGAGAATTGGTAAAAAATGAATCCTTTTTTGGAGCTGGTTAAATCTGTTGTATCTTGTGCGACTACCGTATTTCTGGTTTGTTTACATTCTTTTATTGTAAAAATTTTTTAATTTATTTTTATTAATATATATTGCCATTTTTCTTTTATATAGACGATGTGAGGTAGTTACTTGTAACTTATATATAAAAAACCATTTCAATGTAAACAATAAGTGAATTGACATGACATTGGATAACAGTTGCACATTTTTATTTCTTTCTTCGGCATAGGCAAAGGTCTCATAGTCATACAGCCGTACCTTATGGAATTTTTGACTTCTTTTCTTATCACAAAGCAACATTTCTATAACAATTCTCTTTGTGCTCATTACATATTTTTATTTGTAAAATGCTATTTGTTTACAGTTTTTGGTAATTTTGTTTTGTTTAAAAACTGTCTCTTTTTATTTCAGTTATTCTGAAGCATCTATTATTATTATTATTATTTTTGATTCATCTCTTTCAGACTGCTGGCGGGATAGAGATCTGTTTAGGTACTTACTTATATATTTAATTTAACAATTTAGTTTTATATTTATATATCATATATATTATATATTTTATTTCATTTTTTTATGTTGTTAGATAATTATGATGTAGGTAATTATTCTGACGATTTCCTGTCTTTGTCGTCAAATGATAATGCATGTAGTGAACTCAGCTTCCACAGTACAACATCTTCAATTCCGATAAATGTAGCACTTAATTCATATTTCTCAGATTCCCTGAAAAACTTTAATGTAATTCATATAAACGCCCAAAGTATTCCGGCTCATTATCCCGAAATGCTTGCGTCCTTTGAATCCCATAACATTCACGCCATTCTAGTCTCTGAATCTTGGTTGAAACCATGCTTGCCATCCACTTCTTATTCATTACCAGGATTCCATCTTATTCGCAACGACCGTATTGGAAGGGGGGGTGGAGGTGTGGCAATCTATCTCCGTTCTTATCTACCTTTTGCGGTAGTAAGCTTGTCCCCCCAACCATCTCCTTCTAATGCGGCTGAGCATCTCTTCATTGAAGTAACCCTATCCAATACGAAAATTCTTCTTGGCGTTTGTTACAGTCCTTCTCTTCATATTGACTATTTCTCTTCTTTCGAATATTTATTAGAAAATTTAATTCCATTATATACTCACACTATAATCATGGGTGACTTTAACACATGCCTACTCAAGGGTGACTATCAGTGTGAAAAGCTAAAATCATTAACCGAGACATGTAATCTACATATAGTACCACTATCTGCTACGCATCAAAACACAAAAAAAAAAAAAAAAAAAAAAGTTTTGGAGTTGGTAAAACATCCAATAATTCTCCTCATCATAATGTTGATGTTGAATTCCTTAACAAATATTTCACCTGTTCTAGCACATTAGATAGATCAGATAAAGACCGGACTCTGAGTATTCTTTCTTCAATACCAACTCCTGATTTTCCACCGTTTAATTTCTCTTCTTTCACTGATAGTGATGTTAAAAAGAACATTTTGTCCATCTCGTTCAATGCCGTGGGTGATGACAATGTTAGTCGTAACACGATCTTACCTATATCTTGAATAAATCCATCTCCTCTTCAAAATTTCCTGATGTTTGGAAAAGTGCACTTGTAACGCCTCTCCCAAAAAAAGCCCATGCTTTGCATTTTTCCGACTTTCGTCCTATCTCAATTCTTCCGTTTTTATCCAAACTCCTGGAGAAACTAGTTTTCTTTCAGTTAAATCTCTACCTAAATAGAAATTGTATCCTGGATCCTCTCCAATCTGGTTTCCGATCGGGTCATAGTACGACAACAGCATTGGTTAAAGTTACCGATGACATTCGACGAGGCATGGATAACAAACAGCTCACTGTGTTGGTATTGCTTGATTTTAGCAATGCTTTTAACACTGTTGATTTTGACATCTTATTGAGTGTGTTATGTTCTATTAACATATCTCCTCCGGTGATTGGCTGGTTTCATAGTTATATTTACGGCCGACGGCAGCGTATTCGCATCGAAGATGAGTTCTCATCTTGGTGCGAATTGCAGGCTGGCGTGCCTCAAGGTGGTGTGCTGTCTCCTTTACTTTTTGCTATATTCATTAATTCTATCTCTCAAAATATTACTTCTCTCTATCACATGTATGCAGACGATCTCCAAATCTAAACTCAGTCAACTCTGTTAAATCTGCCTTCTGCTACTGCCACCATCAACAATGACTTAGCGGCGATAAACCAGTGGAGTCAGCGTTATGGTCTAAAAATTAATCCGTTCAAGTCCCAGGCTATAGTTATTGGTGGTGGAGGGATGGTCTCCAGAGTTGACTGGAACAACCTACCCTCGGTGACATTAAATGACGTTGTCATACCCTACAGTAAATCTGTAAAAAATCTGGGGATATATCTAGATTCTACCTTGTCGTGGTCGCAGCAGCTAAAAAAAGTGAGCAAAAAGGTGTTTGCTACTATGGGTTCACTTCGTCGTTTACGTTCTTTTCTCCCCATTCCCACTAAGATTATGTTAGCACAATCCTTACTTCTCTCTATTCTCGATTATGCGGACGCAAGTTATCTCGATTTAACTGAACAAACTTGAGCGAATTCAAAATATTGCAATTAGGTTCATATTTGGTTTGCGCAAATATGATCATGTATCCGAATATCGTTTACAGCTCAAGTGGTTACCCATTCGCTTTCGCCGGAATCTGCAAACTGTATCTCTTTTGTACTGTGTGTTGTTCAATCCTTTGACTCCAAGCTACTTGAAGGAAAACTTTAAGTTTCTTGGTCATGGTCAACCTGATAGAGTTCTTCAGTCAGCCGGCGAATTAATTCTAGAACCATTTCATTTCAAACAAAATTTATGAAATATTCTTTTACGAGCCAAGCCATAAGGTTATGGAATGAACTTCCACTCCAAATTCAACGTGCACAAACTTTGGAAAGTTTCAAAAATGACGTCAAGAAGCATTACCTAACACTTTGTGGTTATTGATAACCATTTCTAGCAACAGATAGTTATTCTGTGTTTTTTTTCCTCTTTGTTTTGTATTTATTTATTTATTATCTATGTATATATATGTATGCGTATATATTTATATATATACCTATTTATTAATATGTATGTTTATTTTATTATTATTTTTTATATGTATTATTGTGGTATTTTAATAAATATAGTTTAGTTTATTTAGATATTAGAATGTATGTGTAACATAAAACGCACCACCTCCTACGGTTCTTAATTCCAGTTTCTCCTTAGCCCAAAGGTTGTCTGGAAGAGATCGCTCTTTAGCGATAAGACCGCCTTATTGTACATATGTATATATTAAGTTTTCTCTGTAATGTGTTTATTCGTTGTATATGTGTGGTGTACAATAAAGTATATACTACTACTACTACTAAATTACTCTAAAATTTAGAGGCATTAATGGTAATTGCCTTACTTAAGTCTACGCAGTCAGCAGACACATATAATATTTTGTCTTATAGTGAGATATTATTATGCCATCAAAAACATAACTTGTTAAAAAAACCAAGTCTCGAAACGCAGTTCTTCTACCGTAAAAAGTTGTGAGATCCATGTAATACCGAGTCGGTTAATTTATTTTTTACGGTAGAAGAGCTGCGTTGCGAGACTTGGTTTTTTACAAGTTATGTTTTTGATGGCATCTCATTTCTTTTTGTACATAAGATAGTCCTACTTTTTTTCCTTTTCGGTACCTTCTACTTCTCGAATACAAACAATGTACCTATCCACAGCTATTATACATAAACAAGTACACTGATTCATTCACTGCAAATGTAACTTTTTTAATGCTATATATTTATATAGGATTACAAAGTTATTTATGCAGTTTGTGTATCTAGAAAACTGGACCGAAATTAAAAAATATTTTAGTTTTCCCTTCATTTATACACTAAGCACTAATTGTATTCTAAATTTGAAGCTTCTATGTCTACTAGATGTGCCTTAAAGTTTTGATGATCGGTCAGTCAGTGAGTGACAAAATTAAGAAACTTTGACTAGTTATACTTCTTAAACTACTGGTTCAAATTGAATGAAATTTGAAATATACCATGTTTATACAATGTCTACTCGGTTACTAATTCAGGCTTCAGTTTTATTCACTACGAAGTTATAAGGGGTCAAAAATGGCCTGAATTGCTTCGATGCAAAAGTATGGTACGGCCGTGCCGCTTTCTTGCTCGACTTGGCGGGGGCACTGCCGTGCCCCCAGGTCAAGCAACTGCAATGGCCAAAATAAGTGAAGAGTAGGCATATGGTGTCTGAAATTGGTGAACCGTTACGATTTTTAGTTTAGTCCATTAATGTATTTTATCTTATTAATCATAATACTTTGAAGTGACTTACACGTGAGCTTGTCAATTTGCGCAAGCGCTTTCTCCGTATACTTGTGCGCCTTGTCCATATAGCCGGCCTGCGCCGAATGCATGACGGTCACGAGGTACACCAGCACGTAGAGCTGCTGTCGCGACAGCCACACGAACGACTCGCCCGCTGCACTGCCGCACACCGCTGCACATACCAAAACCTTGTTTATTTAAAAACTCACCAATAAAATAAATTAAATGTTACAAACTATTAAAGGTAAAGGACTGATGACGGTATGCACAGAAAAATATCGAAAATATTTATAAATTTATGAGGAAACTAAAGCACTCTTAAAAAACAAAAAACTTAATTTTTATAAATCTGCTAGGCATAATATTGCAGGCACAGGAAAGTTGTTTACTAAATTTACACAACCTAGATATTAGGGAATTTTCGCCAAAAACCGTTCTGGGAAAAAGTGGTCTTGTTAACATACTACGCTTAAGGGTACCCGTGTATGCGGTATGCGAAATTTTATTTTATTTAACAATTGAGGACAGTCAATGTTGTGGTTTAGCCACTTACTTAACGGCGGCTCTTCACGTTGGCCAACATAGCGGCGTATGTTGGCCATCATGTAGAGCGGGTGTTTGTGCGGTGTGTATTGGAATGATGGCCCACAAGTTGGCGCGAGATCTGTTTGGTGTCGGTTTTTTACAAAAGATCAAAAGATTGTGGCAGAGTTTGGCCGCAGAGTCCACACGTTGGGCGCGCGTTTAGTTTGCTTGATTTAATTTTTATATTCACGCGTCGTAACAATGATCAATGAAAAAACTTTTCGCTTTATAAAGCTCTACCAAGCCGAAAATTGTTTATGGAACCCATGAAATAAAAATCATAAAAATAAAAATTCTAATTAAAATAAATGAAAATAATAATTTCTTATACACATTCACATAGTAGCAGTATGCTGTGTATAAACTGCAGCAGATGTTAGCGCCTCAATAACCATTTTAATAAATTCGTCTGCACATTGGCCTGAACCCCAGCAAAGTAAACAACTTTCTTACGTGTGGACGCCATCATAAACTCTTGGCTAATGTCTTTGCCACAACATTCGCTACTATGTTGGCTAACGTGACGAGCCACCTTAAAAATAACAAGTTGGTTATTCTGTTCTTTATTAGTGATCGATGGTTATTTCAAAGTATATATTAAAGACAGCAAGGTAAGTATCTCATTTGTTATAGTATTACATTAATATATTAATACCAGTTACCATCATCATCAGGCCACGTTGGAGCCATGATGGTTTGGATGCTCTGCTGTAGCTGCTTCAAGCATGGTTTCACACTCTTTACTTGGCCGGCCATTAAATAGTGACAAACCTACAATATAAATGGTGCATTACAAGAAAATTTACTGTTTAAGTGGATATCTGGATGGCATTCAGTGCATATAAATGTATTCCTCTATTTCCCTCTCGATAATCATTAATAAAAAATAATATTTTAAAAATTGAAAACCTTCTAAAATGACTATAACTGCAAAGTTTAAAATATCTAGTAAATTTAATAAACAAAGAAAAATATAAAAGAATGATATGGACATCGCCACTTCAACCTTCATATATTGTTCTTGAAAAGGAAAACATATAACCAATTCAGTTTTGGAAAAGGAAAGACATGAATACATCATAATGGCAATAGTTTGTTGAAAACCTATTCTTCAAGTTTTATGCAGCTCAGATATCCTCATGAGGTTCCATTTAAAATAAATTATAAGCTGTCAAGAATTTTGAAAAAGTTAACACAAAATAGTAAGCACCTGTAATACTAGGAAAAAAACTTTGAGGTACTCTTTTTGATGTGGACTACCCGACCATGACTCCACAAGATGGCCCGCTTGATTTAGCAACGGTAACACTTCTTGGATCTTCTTGTCTATCAACAACAACTGAAATAAAATAGTCATTTAATTTATTCACTTCATGTTCTTTCTTTTACAATATAATTATTTTTTTAGATATCCTATGAATGTAAACCAATTAGTCTAAATTGTTTGCACAGAACAATTATTTATAGTTTTATTACAAAAGTATCATGTCCACTAAGTTTTTGCCAGTACCATTCGCAATATGAACAGCCTACCTCAATTGTTTTTTAATGGACGCTACTTCCTTGCTCTTTACTTTATTGGTTATAAAATACTAAATTAAATATAAACAATAACAAAATTGGCCAAATTTCTTCTTACGAAAAGCGAGTTTAAGTTAGAACTCACCATTACTCTACTCAGTAAAAACAGAACTCTGGTGTATGCAGCATTTGAGATCTGTGCATAATCCACTCCAACACCCAAAAGGCTACTAGCCACTTCATATTCACGCTCTGTTGCATGAATTTGCTGAAAAATAAAATATTATTAAATAAGTACTCAAAGTCAAATGATGACTTTATATTACACCATCAAATCCTGGATTGATCTTGGGGCATGCCTCTGACCCACATGTGATAATGTATCTATTTCACATGTAACAGAATTAAGAAATTTTATATATTTTCTTAAAAAATTATGAATTTAGTGGAAAAATATAGAATATCAATGCATGTTAACACCACTACCATTCTTAGTTTTGTGACAAAATTTATATTTTTTTATTGAATGTACTTTGTAAATAATAACACATCATTCTTATAACAGGTATTTGATTGGCTTGCAGAATCTGTAAGAATAAGGCCTTACAAAAGATCTGTAATGATTTTTTTTTACAGAAGAGGGGGCAAACAAGCATACGGTCCACCTGATGTTAAGTGACTACTGCCGCCCATGAATATCGGCAACACCAGGGGAATTGGAGGTGCGTTGCCAGCCTTTTAAAATGGAGTAAGCTTTTTTCTTGAAGGTCCCCAAGTCGTATCGGTCCGGAAAAAGCGCCGATAGTAAACTATTCTACAGAGAGGTCGTACGCGGAAAAAAAACTCCTTGTGAAACGTACAGTGGTGGACCGCCAAGCATCCAGATGGTGTGGATGCAGTGGCGCAGCTAGAGCTCCAAGCTAGGGCAAGCCCAAGATATAAATTGATAAAAATATAGATTGTTGTTTTTAGCTGTTTTATAAAAATACAACAATCTTGATCTGTCTCCACGCTTCAGTTTCATATTCAGTGCTGTCAAGGATGTGTTTAACAAAGCACACAGAAGGCATACCACTGCTAGATAGATTGTATTACATATCAGCAATTGCATAGCTTCGGTGGCTTTGAAGAAAGCCGTTTGGGTTTAAGCGAAAGAAAAAAAAATATTTACATCCAATACAATACATGAACAAAAGTAAAACACGAACGAAGTACAAACAAACTATGTACAAAATTAAAAAAAAAATTATTTACATTCTAATGGATAAGAGATAAGTGGAATTGTCTCGCTTTCTTATGGAAAGATTTAATTACGTCCACGTAAAATGTTGGTGAATGTTTTAATTGTACCCATAACTGTTTTTAATTGCGATAATTAATAAGTCTGAAATACACTCTTAACCTTGTGTATTATCTCAACAAAGTTTAAAGATTTCCTCTCCGATTATCACTTTAACACAATTCAATTCATCACAAGGAACACTATTATCCTCGGTTTTCATTAAAAATCTTTAAAAAAGCGTAAATTTTGAACTCGTAATATTAAATCGCTTAAGATAAGCACACAGAGTAAATAAATATTGAAACGTGAAATGAACTTGCAAACTTATTGCCCGCGCGCCTCCGCTTTTAACAAATTTATTCCCAAAAGCCTGGCTTTAAATCTCTATACTAATTGCTATATATACAATCGTAGTTATATTTCATTATAGAATATTTTGCCATAGGTTAGAAAGAGAGCGATCGTCTTCTCGAAAGCTCCGTAAAAAGCCCACGCGAGCGAGGGAGACAACTATTAGCTCTATTAACTCATTTTTTATGACAGCAGCAGTATCGCTAAGGCAATACGAGGTCATCGATCGACATCTGTCGTACAGTGGAGTGCGCGGGAAATTTGAAATAGCTTGAAACATTTTACGAGTTATTTTATTAGTTGATATTATTGATTGATTCAGGTTTAATAAGGCAAGCCCGGCTTTTCGGCTTTAATGGAAGCTTCGCCACTGTGTGGATGGTATCGGGAGGTTTGCCGCGTAGTGCATTCATAAAATTTGGCCGCTGGGATTAATTTGAACAATTCCTCAGAGCACCCCCTGTGATAGATGCGATAAAATACGCAAAGATGCAACATCTCTTCGCAATGCCAGTGAATCGAGCCGATCGGAAAGCACGCAGTCGTCGACGATTCGAGCCGCTCTGCGCTGGATGCGGTCAAGTGGAAGGAGCTGGCACTAATGAGATGAGAGAGATGGGAACAGTATTCCATGTGCGGCCGAACCTTGTAAAGTTGCAGGCGGTGTGCCGGTATAAAATACTGTCCCACTCTGCTGAGCATGCCAAGCGTTTTAGAGGCCAATTTGGCATTCTCTTTCAAGTGACCACGAAACTGTACGTCACTCGATATGTCGACGCCGAGAATTCCGATACTGGCTGAGGCAACAAAGGGAGTGCCTTGAAACTGAGAAGATACAACTAAGGGGTTCTTTTTGGCGGTTAGCGCGCAAACTTGTGTCTTCTGAGGATTAAACTGGACTAGATTTAGTCATCCCCAATCCGAGACTACTTACTTTGTTCAGCAAAGACTCGACTTCAGACACAAGTTTGTCCCGGTACTCGGAGACGTTTTCCCAAGAAATATTGGCACGGCTGATGTACAGAGCATCACCAGTGCTGTGTTATGCATAGCAATGAATGTTGCTGGTTCGACACATATCATTGATATGCAGAAAAAACAGCATTGGTGATAGCATGCAGCCTTGTGGAACACCAGCATTAATAGGCTTGTAATCGGAGCTTGCACTGTCTACAACTACCTTGATGCTCAGATCTGCAAGAAAGCTGGTGATTCAATTGCACAATTTCTCGGGAAGCCCATAGGAAGTGAGTTTCGAAAGAAGCGCTTTTGGCCAAACCCGATCGAAGGCCTTCACAATGTCCAAACTAACGACCAATGCCTCCCCCTTGGACTATACTGTCGCCGCCCATCTATGAGTCAGGTAGACCAGAAGATCACCAGCTGATCGACCTCGGCGAAAACTGTATTGGCGATCAATAATCAGCTGGTGATCCTCAAGGCACCTCATGAGCTGACAGTTTATAATGGACTCTATTGTTTTGGAGAACAAGGAGGTGATGGCGATGGGCCAGTAGTTGGACGGATCTGAGCAGTTGCCTTTTTTAGGAATTGGGTGGACGAAAGCTGTCTTCCATGATTTTGGAACTACACCTAGTGAGGAGTACCGGAAAAGATGCCAACTCTGGAGCACACATCCTCAGCACAATTGGAGGGATACAATCAGGCCCACTCGACTTGGGGATGTCCAGGGAGAAGAGTGCTTTGCGAACCGAGCGCTGTGTGAACCGCACCTCCGGCATTGAGTACTCACACCTCAGGATGGTCGGTGGCGAACTCCCCCCGTCATCAAGAGTCGAGTTGTACGCAAAGAAAGAGCCTAGCAGATCGGCTTTCTCCTTTGTGGCATGGGCCGTTATTTTAATTCTTTTTAAATGTAAATTTTTAATTTCTCAAAAATAACAACAATTACAAGTATTATTCATATGGGTTACCCTTTGTTTTCTATTCTCAATAGGTCTTTGAATGATGACTAAAATCTCAAATTAGTATTCCTATGTTGACTTTTACGTATAAGCAAAAGTTCAACATTTTTGTCATAATTAAAAGAAAACTTGTTTTTTATTATATGAGCATTAATAAAGACTGATTCCATGCACAAAAAATGTTTGGTTTAATTATGTTCTGATGACAAAAAAAAACTAATTTATTATGGGTCACAGTACCGTGTGTGTAACTTTGTAATGTGTTATGGATTGTTAACCCCTCGATCCTTTTAAAATTCACATGCAGTTGCATGCGTCTGTCAAATCCCGAGCAGTCGCATGCGACCGCACCCACTCACAGCACTTTAAACCATTAAAACTTATATTTATGGACTACTTTTCTATAAAGAAGTTTGGCATTATAGAATCTATATGAAATTTTCTATCCTGTGGTCTAAACAAAAGTTAGTTACTCTATATATTTTATTTTTATTCTCCTGTCAATTTACATTTGACGACCATACGAAAATAGCGCAATTTTACGGTAGATTAAAAATAAAAATTCATAGAGTAATTGACTTTTGTTGAGACTTTCATATAGATTCTATAATGCCAAACTTCCTTAAAGAAAAGTAGTCTAAGTGGTGTGGGTGGGTGGGTGCGGTCGCATGCGACCGCTTGGGATTTTACGGATGCATGCCATAAAAACTTATATTTATAGACTACTTTCTATAAAGAAGTCTGGCATTATAGAATCTATCCAAAACTCTATATTCTATAGTTTAAACAAAAGTCAGTTATTCAATGGATTAATTGTTACAAAAATACTTTATTTTATTTTGATAACTACATACCAAGCGGATGTTGGTAGCATTAAAATTACTATTATTTCTATATACTACACGAACTTATTTACGTAAAAGATAAATTATATTCACACAAAAACTTTCATAACAATATTATAATATAAAACTGTTCTTAACTTAGAAAAATCCAAAAATCAACACAACAATGTACAACAACGAACACTCGACAATGACGCACTTTGAATGTAGATTATAAATGAATATCTATAGACTAACTGAATTTTTATTCAACTAGAGGAAAAAAAATTCATATTGATTCTATAATACCAAACTTCTTCACAGAAAAGTAGTCTTTAAATATAAGTATTTATGGGTTATAGTGATGTGGGTGGGTTCGGTCTCATAAGACCTCTAGGAATTTGAAATGAAAAGGGGGTTTTTTGGAGGGAAAAGGTAATTTTTCAGCGGAAGTTGACCATAGTTGAAGCTTCAATTAGAAGTAAATTTAAAACATCAGAATATAAATTTATACTTTCTGATGATAAAGTACATATGAAATACAAATAAAGTAGATATACTTTAATTTTTTTTCATACTTTTACCTGTTGACCTCATCTACTTAAATAATAAAATCAACTAAAGTTAAGATAGTAAGCATTTATGACATGAAATCTGTAAAATTTGCCAAACATAATATTTTTAGTAAGATTTAAATGAATTTTATAGTTTACTGATTTTAATCCTATTGATTGTATACTGTAAACTTTCTTGAATTAATTTTACTGACACTCATAACAATTGGCATGAGTGGATAATTTCAAATTATCCACTCAGCCCCCCCCCCCCTCCCGGTGGCTCTAAACAGCCATGTCAATCGACACATTTGGCACATTGGGTATTGTTTACAAAAAACATTATTTATGACTACATCAGGGGGAATGACACTTGAATGGTGGTTTTTTTTAAAGGGAATTATTGAATATTTCTGTACAAGTGCTGTTAACATTTATAGATTCTTGTAAAAATAATCAGTGCTAAAGTAGAAAACAAGTGAATTTTGACACATTGCATCATTAAAATATGTGTATTTCGAAATTTAAAGTGACAACCGATATATTTTATATTTTTAAATGCATTGTGAATATATTTTTAGGCAATATTTATGAAAAAACACATGTAAACTTGGAGAAAACTATTTTTTCAAGAGTTTCAAAGTTCTATAAGAGTTAAGTATGAAAAATTGTTTGCTCAAATAAAGTTTTTTTTTTATTTGGCACATGGATATGTGTTGTTAGAACTAAAAAAGGTTGGGAATTCAATATAAAATTATTTAAAAATCAATATACACTAATTTAAATTGTATTTCATAGGCAGGGAGAACTTTTAGAATGCAAGATTGTTTGGGTACTGAATTACCCATGGCTGTTTTACGCCATTTTCAATTTGGCTACCCATGGCCTCCTGAGGGGTTATAATAGATAATGTTGTGACTTTGTTTTATTCAAGGTTTTGCTTCATTTTTAGGTTCATTAATATCTATAGGTCAGATATTTTAGAAAATGAAATATTTTCCAACTTTCTGACTTGAAGAAAAAAGATTATGGAAAAAATAATCAGGTATACATACAGCGAGCTGAAAAATTAGTCTGCAATGCCAATAAACACTATGCTGAGACAACTCAATGGCTTTCCTTAAAATGGGTTTTGAGTGTGTTGGTTGGCCTTGCTGCTCAAATAACTCAGCAAGCACACTAGCTGCTTCAAACTTCACGTCGTCAAATGCATTGATGCTCTGAGACAAGAACCACTGCAATGAAAACACAAAATGACCCACTTCAACAACATTTGTTTACATTCTATGAGAAAGTTATCACCATAAGCCACTAAGAAACAAACGCGAAAGACATGTCGAAGTTTCATAATGGATAACACCACTTTATTATTTCTTAAATTACCCCAAATTTATATTCAATAACAAAAAACTTACACTTTGCTCTAAATGCGTTCTCGCCAAGTCAATGTTTTTAGTGTGTGTCAAAAGAATATTTCCAAGTTGTAAGTGAGTTCTCGCCTCGACCCTTTGTGGTGGTTTGAAATTAAATACGGCTTGAAGACACTGTATACAACTTTTTATGTCAGGAGGATTTGATGTGCGGAAATGCTCCGCTAAACCAAGTAAAGAAATATACCAAGCGTCCTGCGTTGACGCCATTTTGACATTTCTGCCATAGATAAATAAATATGTAGCAAGCTACAGATACGACAGCGACTTTTAGTCAAGTTTCCCAACTACGCCTTTTGGCGCTGCAGTCGCCCAATTTGACAGATGAGTAATGACGTCATGACTATACAATTTAGTATAGCTTAGGGATTGCAAGCACACAGCCTTCGAATTATCGATATCGATGTTTAGTGGTGTTCTTATTTTGTCGATATCGACATAAGTGCATTATACAGGAATAATAATACTTAATGAAACAATTATAATACATCTAACTTATTTATTTTTTATTCAAGCACACCAACATCATATACATACAAACGTAATCTTAGGATTAAATTAAAGGCACATTAAGTCATATATACAAATTAGAAAATTGTACATAACATTTTACATAAATAAGTACAATTTGACGAAACAGAGCAATATTTACAGTTCATTAAATAAAGCAAATTAAACCACAGGAATCATATTTAAGTGCTTAATATTTTACTTTCAAGTCATTTTTTATTAGAAGCAATGCTATTTATTTTTCATTAGGGGTAAACCTGGGAATTCTTTTACAAAAATTAAAAAAACATCTTCTCTTCTTTAATTTCATTTTCTACACCACGTAACCTGAAAAGAAATAAATAAAAATAAAGTTCATATTTTATGACTTAATGATAATCATAAATTGTATATTATTTATATTAAGGTAACAAAGGGTGGCATCATGGCAGTTGCCATTTTTTATTGGTCAACCCATGGTGTGGTGAAAATAAAGTGGTAGATGCAGTAAATAAGAAATAAAAAACATATAAAGATTAACACTGTATACATCCATTATCAGGAGATTTCTCAATGTCTTCAGGCACGGAGTTCCAAATAAGTGTAACCTTATTACTAAAGGAGTTGTTGATAAAACCATTGAAGTGTAGTGGAACTGTAATCTTTAGATTTGATGAAGAACAAAGAACTCTTACCGTGATTTGAGGATAATATGCTGAATATAGATATAATAGATATGTTGAAACTTACTTAATGTCTAAGAATAAACTGAATTTATCATACCTTTTCGCCAATGTGTACATTTTGTATCTTCTGTCAACATTTGTCTCACCACATCAGCATTAGATTTCTGTTTCTGAAAACCAACAATATTTGTGAATTTTGTTCTTATACATAAACCCAAAATTAAAGAATAAATATATAATGTATACTTCTGTATTGTATGTATTAATGCTGTATGGCTACTGTTAACGACAGTTTAGTATAATCATAATTCAAAAGTGATCTATATTATCATATAACTTAATTTTTAGAATTTTATTTCACCACCGTCATCATTACAGCGCTTCACAAGTCCACTGCTGAACGTAGGCTTCCCCCAAGAAATGCCACAAATCACGGTCCTAAGCCTAAGCCTAAGCATATACAGGTCGTGAATGATACACTTAAAATTATCAATTTTTTATTTATACATTTTTATTTTAATCTTTTAATGTATTCACTTTGATAAGATAACAAATAAAGTGGATGTCATCAGAGGAAGAGTTCCAGAAAAATGTAACCTTAACAGTAAAGGACTTGTTGATAAAACCATTGAAGTGTAGTGGAACTGTAATATTGGGATTAGGTGAAGAACAAAAAACTCTTATTGTGATTTGAGGTAGATATTGAAACTTTTTCTAATTATGTCTAAAAATAAACTGAATTTATCATACCTGTTTGCTTTTTTGTACATGTGCTACCTTTTGGCATCATTTGTTTCACCACATTAGTATTAGAATCAATTCCTGAAAAGAAGCAATAGTTATGAATGTTATGGTCTTAAACATAAATTAAATTTACAATGTATGCTTCTCTGTATTGTATGTCTAAATTAAATACACGTAACCATCCTCTAGAACTCATGCAGTTCCAGGTATGCAGTGACAACTCCAGTCCACAGCCTGTTTTTAAGCATTTAAAGTATTTTTTCTATTACCCGATATATAAGTACTTCTTTTAATTTGATCCCTACATAAATGTATAAAAAATTATGTCCAATACAATTTCCCATACCTTTATTTTCAACAACTGTTGCAACAGTTGAAAAATTTGAACATGAAGGCTGTTCATGAGAATTTCCAACATCTGAAATTTGTTACAAGATTGCATTTTTATAGATGTCAGTATGATTAGGCAAACACATTATTAGAAAATGAATGGTTAGTAAATTTATGAAATAGTTAGAAAGCTTTTTTTGCTACTTAGTAACTAGTGCTACATGAATATTAGTACACACCTGACGATCCAATCTCTACCGATGATTTGGAACAATCATTTTGCTCTTTGTAGTAATTGTGTTCAATCGTAACATCACTTCCTGAAAACATTATTCAAAATGTTGAAAAATTTGCCACTGACTGTAATTTAAATAAAATATTTTTAGAAATCAGTGTTCATCATAATATGTTTACTATGATTTACAATTAACATCAATTAAGATATTTGTACATACCAGGCTTTCTAACCACTAACACAGCTTCTGTGAAATCATCTTCATTTTGCTCTTTACAGTAATTATGTTCAGTTGTGACATCCCATCCTGAAAAAATTACACTATCATAGCAAATAATGATGTAGAGTCAATGACACTTACAAATGGTCGTACTTTTATCTTGTTAATACTTGGGCCCAAGAATGTATAGAGACGTCTCCTTCTCTTTTAAGTACCATGGTTGAAAGTAATAAAATAACTCACCAGTTGCAGTCAGAGGCACACCATGAGCTATTTCATTGTCAGTAAGCAAGGACGGGTAAGAGTATCGAAGTCTTCTGCCTTCATTGCCGAACTGAAATACATCAAAATGTTTTTCACAGACACGTTTGTTAAGTAACTGTTCTTTGGAAAGTACAATGAGCTGGGGATTTGTCGGCACTATGAAAGCCATCCACAAGTTCCTTAAATTATCGTTCCTAGGGAATCTGAAAAGCCGGTGCGTTTCACGTGTTGTATTGCAATTTGCAACCACCAACACAACACTTTTCGTATACCATTATGATGATATATGCAATATTCACACGAGCAGCACAAAAACAGAATATTGTAATAATTGAGAAAAATTTAGATAAATAATGGCGGCAAATGGCGGCAATCAATATCGATAGTTTTGACAATATGATTTGAAATTAATAGAATATGGCGTCTCAAAATAGCGTCCGTAGGCAGAGTAAAAATTGCGACGGTAGCGCCAAGTTGCGTAGAATGGAACTAAGCTGTCACGGGCCTGATTTCTGCTTGGAGGGAATAGTGTTGTTGTTATTATTACGATTCACCTAATATGGCATGGAAAGGTCTGCGACCATACAGTCTAGTCCGACATACATAATATTTAACAAATATTAATTTCAAGAACAGTTTCCAAGTTTCGAGATTTAATTAATACAAATCGTCATTGCGCGAGCAGACTAAACTACACTCAGACTTCCGAAGACACCGTTATCCGAAATACTTTAGTACCTTATACCACATACAATCCTTTGACAAATCGTACATAAGACAAAAGTACAATCTGCCACTTTGATATTCTAGAGTAGAATAATTTCATATATTTCTAGAGTACTGCGGCAGTATACTGGCAGTCAATAACGGAACGAATTTTTTACCAGTGATAGCACCGAGCAGTGCTCGCAGTGTTTATTGGAGCTCGGCCTTTATCTAGCGTGGTGTAAGACAGTGTGACGTTGTATTCCGGAAACCCTTCACCGCTGCATTGGAAGACGTTTATAAGCTACTAGACTGGAAAAAATACGGTAATAATATCAATGGCGAGTACATAAATCATCGTCGATTTGCCGAGACTATAATTCTTATGGCGAAATCGCTCGAGTACCTAAGTGACATTTTTAGTGTCTCCCAATGGATAGGTTTTAAAATGAAAATGAACAAAACAAAAATCATTTGTAACGTCCATGTCACACCTATTTGTCTGTCACACCGGTATTTAGGAGCACTATGCTAGAAGTTGTCCACGAGTATGTGGATAAATAGTCTGACTAGGTAAGTACAATTTCGATCAAGAAGTCAATCAACTGATTCAACTCAGCTGGGCAGCGTTCGGGAAATTACGACAGATTTCATTAGGTATACCCCAAAACTAGAAAATAAAAATTTACAACCATTGCGTGTTGCCAGTAATAATGACATATGGATCTGTCATTCGACGCTGTAGGAATAGAATATACAGCGTCCAATGGCGTCCAACTAAGAATGACCATACGGATTATATGAGTATATTGTATGATATCAGAGTTTGCGAAAAGTTATCATTAAATATTTTAAAACTATTGATGTTAAGAAAATGGTAGACCTATGGGGAATTTCAATTAAAGTTATTACATCCGTGATAGATACAATAGCACCGTATCTAGCCACTATTTTTAAAACAAGCGTCGAATCTGGTATGTTTCCTGATTTAATGAAACATAGTAAAGTTATACCTTTATTCATATCTGGTAGTACATCAGACTCTGCCAATTTTAAGCCAATTTCTGTAGCACCAACTAAAAATAAAATTTTGAAAAATTATATTACATCAGATATAAAATTTTTTTAATTAAAATAAATTGCTCCATACAAGTCAATTTGGTTTTACAAGGAGTCGCTCGAAAACCGATGCCAGAGTTGAGCTTTTTTTAAAAAAAGTGACACACTCTGTAAACACTAGGAACAAACACAAGCTAGTGATACCAGTTTCTCGACTCTACAGAGTCAGTAATTGATTCGTGGGCCAATGTATACGCCATGGAGGTTAGAGAATAGGAGAACGATCGCTACGTGCTAAAGCATAGCCCGCCTGTCCCTGAAAATTTGTAAAGTTTATAACCGCGCTGCCGTCGGTAAGTACCTAGTATCTGCGAAGTAATTTTTTAATTTCTGACAAAAAGAAACATTATAAAATTCTGAAATATTATTTTAAAAAATTGTAATAAATCAATAATAATTAATAATTTATATTTGTAGTAATTTATAATATTTATAATAACTAGAATTATAAAACACATAGTTTATAATTTATTTATTAATAAATAATAATAATTTCCTTTAGCAGAAATAGGTAAAAGTGTGGTTAAAACCTTATTTTTCATTATAATCATAGATAAGTACATAATATATACACTAATTGTATTTGTTTGTAGATTGTATTGAAGCCGAAACTGAAATGTCTACAGAGATATAACCCCAGTACTCAGTAGCTCTACTGCGTTTCTGTTATAGACAATTTCCCGAGAAAGAAAAAAAATGAAGAAAACTATTGATATTCTTCGGAGACGTCTCGATAAGAAACAAAAAAAAAACAGAAAACTATAAGAGTACAAAAAACGGTTTAGTGGAAAAGGTGTCTCGAGTGATAAAAAATATTGCAAGGCTTTTACAAGGTCCTTACTTCAAAATAACATTAGTGCTGTAATGGTGTCTAGTTCAAACGATTTGTTGCAGCATCTGCTCGAAAGGGTGATTAAGAAAAAATAAAATAATTAAACAAAGAAGATTATGATACGTAACTAAAGACATTTTCCTTACTTTACACTTTTATAGCCCTAGGGCTTACAATTACGTGAGAACAAAATTTGAACTGTGCCTACCACATCCTCGAACACTATGAGTCTGGTACCAAAATGTGGGCTATAAGCCCGGCATCAATAAGGAAGCCGTAGAAACTATAAATTCTATAAGAAAAGAAAAAAAGGTTTTGGTCATCGCACTTACGTTCGACGAAATGTCTATCCATGAGCACATTGAATTTGACGGTCGTAATCATCATGGATATGTTGATGTGGGTAATAGTTAGAGTTACGTATATTTCGCAACTAAGAAACTGAAATTTCGCATAAATATAAATTAAAAATCCAAAATATCGCATTTATTTGCATTAAAAAAATACGAAAAATATTTAAAAACTAGTCAAGATTCGAAATTGGCTCAGGACGTTTTTAAAAAGACATCCTTTTAAACTTATTACTATAAATGTGCGATACATTACTACTATACTACTTAATTATTCCATTTGAGACGCCAGAATATGGCGTTTGGGCACACGAGGGGATATACTACTTAATTATTCCACGACGTGGAAGCCTAACTATGAATATTCTAATTCTTATTCTGGATCTTTAAGCTAAAAATCAAATCAATTGTTTGTTTACTTGCATTCCATAATAATATAAACCAAGTACGTATAACAATAATAAGTGCCAATCTATCAACCTGTTCACAGTAATTGATGCAAATGAAAATATCTCAACAGAGTTAGACAACATAGATGTAGTATTGGCTTATGAGTGCGGCACTGAAACATGTAACTCGCTCATAAAAAATAAGTCTACTTCCCTGAAAATATTCTGTCAAAATATTCGCAACATATACAAAAACTGAGATAGTTTGGGAACAAGAGAGTTGGACTAAACTCTCTTGTTTTACGTTTGAATGTGACATCATTATCTTAACTGAATGCTGGCTGAGTGCCCATAAACAAATCCCACAATTTGAAAATTACAATATGTACTATACGCACAAATGTCTCAATCAAAACGACGGTATAGTTATATATGTTAAAACGGGTATTAAATGTACAATAAAAGAACCAGACCCATTAGGTGCTAATTTCATATCTATTAAAATTATTGACCCCGACATTTTCATTTTAGCTTCTTACAGATCTCCGTCGACTCAATGTATTGACAGTTTTCTGAATTCTATAGAAAATATAGTTCGTCCACTGGACTCAACTAAAAACTTGATACTAATTGGTGATATTAATATTGATATTACAGTTATTAACAACGATCGAAGAAGTGAAGCGTACTTAAACCTAACAGCGGAGCTAGGTTAGCGTAGGCCAGGTCACATTTATCCTACTAAATTATACAGCTGTCTAGATCATGTCATGCTGAAAATTAGTTTTGCAGCATTAGTATTTGTGATTAATAGTACTATAACAGACCATTCTTCAATCCTACTCAGCATTTGCCCTAGCCAGCATAGACCAAAAGAACCAAAGCTTTTTACTAGAATCAACAATGATGCTTGTTTTAAAATATTTAGAGACAGTGGACTTTTCATTTATAGACACTTCATCTGATGCAAATGAAGCCGCATTTACTCTTGTAGAAAAGTAGGCTAGTGCAATTTCACTTCACTCTGATTCCCGTCGTGTCCCTAATAAACAAAGAACGCTAAAACCATGGCTAACTCTTGGTCGCTTACGTTGTATTCGACACAGAGACAAACTCCATCGTAAACTTAAAAAAAGTTCTGAAAATAAAATTCTTGAAATCACTTAGAAGCGTTACCGAAATTATTGTAACTCTTTGTTGAGAAAACTTAAACGAAACTACGGAAAGTTACTATTACGTAATACGAAAACTAATAAAGATACATGGAATGTAATTAAAACTATAATAAATTACACAAAATAAAAAACGAGTGCTGATAACTTGATGAGTTCTAATAAAAATGCTGTTCGTGATGTAGAAAACATAAATAAATACTTCTTTAATATTGGTAAAAAACTAGCTGATGCTGCAAATATTTCAAATCAAAATAGCTCTCCATATAATTTCACAATTCCATCAGTTCCTAACTCTTTTGTGCTACTTCCACCAGATGAGGGAGAGGTAGAATCGACTATTAGAAGTTTAAAAAATAACTCTACTATTGGTTGGGACTCTATACCTGTGCAACTTCTCAAATTATAGTAGTTAGTTAAATTATATTAGTTAGTATTAAGTTTAGTAGTATTTCCACCTTTGAATAAACATATTGAGCTCTGTTATGAATCTTTCCAAAAGTTTTTAAAAAAAATTTAAGGACTTCCTATGTGACCGTAAACAACAGGTTAAAATGGGTGAATATGTCAGCCCTGAGGAACCGATTGTATGTGGCGTTCCA